TTTCATCTAAGAGATCGTTGTTACAATCTTGAGGAAGCGTCTTGATGATTTCTTCGGCTTTTCTGAGGAGTTTTGTCATTTGACCGCGGTGTGCTGCTCGGGTACCTTTGAGCTTCGGTAGACGTGTCGCTTGAGAAGATTCTGCCATCCTGTATCCTGGTCTCGGCACCAAAACAATGTGGGAATTGTTAAGAAGAGTTGGTTCAAGTTCAGGAATGGAAGAATAAACCGCGTATGGACTGCAATAGATGACTTTATTGAACGAACTATGAATGAATCATGAACGAACAAGACGAACCAAGAACGAACTGAAGAAGAGACGTTTCGTCTCCTATTTATATTATCAAAGTAAATATTGGCCTTGTTCATGAATGGTTACGATGAATATGGCCTTGTACATGATTGGTGAAAAGATAAAGGAGCTGATTGGTTGAAAATAAAACAATCTCATTGGCTGGCTAAATCTCAGTCAGAATCCTAAATTGTACTCAAGCTCAATTTTCCGACAGTTTTTTTAACTGCAAATGTTGTTGATATAGCTTAATTGTTTATGTTTCTATAACACTTTTGTTCAGTTCGCCGGCATTTGGCCGTTTTGACGACTGTATGCCTTCACTGTTGGGGTTATTTTTATGTTGCCATTTAGATTTGTCTGAGCGACTTTGTAGTAAGGGTTTCTGTGTCAAAGGTGACAATTAATTTGTAGAATGCCTGGAGATTACCCACAATTTTCGCTTATTAACATTTATTTCCTTCGTTCGACGGAAGTCTGACTACGTAAACGATCAGTTGAAGCAACGCCAAATTTAATACGTGTCAAAAGTTACAATTAATTTGACGAATGTCTGCAGATTACCCACAATTTTTGATAATTTACATTTGTGTTCTTCGGTCGGCGAAAATCTGAATACGTAAAGACCCAGTGAAGCGGCGCAAAATTGTGGAAGAATGTATTAGATAAATCAACCTTTTGTTTTACAAAACGGCTATGTACATTTTTAGCCTTCGCAGACGAAGTCAGCCGAAGGCTTATAGATTGGGTTCTGTCCGTCCTTCCGTCCGTTCGTCTGTCTTTTACCTCTTATAACTTTGATATGCTCTGTCCAATTTTTTTTCCTAGTTGGTGCAAATGTAATTCTCAATGCCATACATATGCACGCCAAGTATTTTTTTGATTCGCCAAAGTTTCATTGTGTTTATCTGTGATTTTCAACATTTTACTTGT